TTCGGTGTCGTGCCCTCTGGATTCCAGCACTACTCTGTCCGCACGTCCTGGGCAGCGAGTGTGCCTTTCCAGGAGTTGTCGAAAGCGACTCAGATCCTATAGTGTTTTCAGAAGCAATAGCACTGAGTCTGCAAATTTGGAAAGTGAGCTGGGGTGGGAAGACGGGTGGAAAGGCGGGGAAGGAAAGGGTGGGGCAGGGAAGCGGAGCTAAGTAAGGTTGAGGAGATGATTGGGGGAGTGTGGCAGGGTGAACGCAATTGGGGCATGGGCGGTGGATGTTCGCTGGTGTGGGAAGGTGGTCAAGCAGGCTGGAAGGGTTGGAAGCAGGCACGAGGGGGGAAGAAGTGAGGAGGTGGAGATGAAAATGTGCCAAGGCGAGCTGGAGTGGAGAGGTGGGGCGAGGTGGATCGGAGAGGTGGGGCGAGGTTCAGAGCAGCAGAGTGCACTGCGCTTCCACACAACTCTCTTACCGTGCTTCCAGGAAACCTCTTCACGTCTCACCTGCATCTCTTCTTTCACCCGTGCCATCGTCCTCAGGTCCCTCTTCCCCTCTCGTCCAGTTCCCCAACTCATCTCCCTTTCCTCTCCCCGACTCCTCTCCCCACCCATCGTGCGAGCAGCCATGTGGATTCGCGACCAGTTCCTCACGTTTGACTACACCAGGAACATCTTCTCCTTCCAATCCATGAACTGTACGCTGCGCCTATCCCTATCAATATCCCTATCCCTATCCCTATCCCTATCCCTATCCCTATCCCTATCCCTATCCCTATCCCTATCCCTATCCCTATCCCTATCCCTATCCCTATCCCTATCCCTATCCCTATCCGTATCCGTATCCGTATCCCTATCCCTATCCCTATCCCTTTCCCTTTCCCTTTCCCTATCCCTATCCCTATCCCTCCCCCTACCCCTACCCCTACCCCTACCCCTACCCCTACCCCTATCCCTACCCCTACCCCTACCCCTACCCCTACCCCTACCCCTACCCCTACCCCTACCCCTACCCCTACCCCTACCCCTACCCCTATCCCTATCCCTATCCCTATCCCTATCCCTATCCCTATCCCTATCCCAATCCCAATCCCTATCCCTATCCCTATCCCTATCCCTATCCCTATCCCTATCCCTATCCCAATCCCTATCCCTATCCCTATCCCTATCCCTATCCCTATCCCTATCCCTATCCCTATCCCTACCCCTATCCCACTCCCTCTCACTATCCCTCTCCCTTGCGCTCCCCCACGCTCCCTCCCTCTCAACCCTTACATTCTCAATGTTGTTTAGTGCCCATGTTCATCTCATGCATCTGAGCGCCTTTCCCCTGTGTGATCTGAAACTCTCTCTGCATACATCCACGTCCATGCATCCATTCACTCATGTTGGCATGGCATGGCATCGGATGGCCTGTTGTGCGTCCGTCCAGTCAAAACGGCCGAAACCACTGGTCGTTTTCACCTTGGTTGAATCGCCTCTCCTCTCATATTCTCCGCTTGTCTTTCCCCCCTCTCTCCACCATGTCTAATCAACTGGCACCATCTGCCTGCGATTTTTTAGGCGCCTCTTAAAAAACATTTTTCGAGGTGCCTAAACAATCGCTCGTCTTTCCCCTCTCTCTCCACCATGTCTAATCAACTGGCACCATCTGCCTGCTCCTCAATCCACATACACCCATGCATCATCCACTCGTACCTTTCACCATGCCCGCACACCTATTCCTCGTCGCCTCTTTTGTAATCCCTAGCACCCTCACCTCTCCTGCTGTGTGTCAGTTTGTCTTTCTGCCTATCCGTCCTTCTGCCCGTCTGCCTGCCTTCCTGCCTTCAAACGCTCCCTGGCCAACATGCCTGCCCTCTCTTTCATGCATGCCCTCCCTTCCCATGAATGCCCTAACAGGCACAACACTCACGCCCATCACAGCCCCACCCCCACCTCCGCCTCTCGTATTCACTGTCCCAGAGCCCCGGTCCAAGGGTGCGTGGGGGGGGTAAAGAGGGGCGCTGGGGTCGGGTGCAGGTTGCTGGTTGCTTTGTGACAGCGCTGGGGGTTGCTGGGTTCTGGTTGCTGGGTGCTGGATGGCAGCGTTGCATTTGCGGTAGGGGGGATGGAAGGGGGATGGAGAGGAAGGGGGGGTTGAGGGGAGAGGATGAGGGGGGAATGGGGGAGAGAGGGAGGAAGGGAGAGAGATTGAGGGAAAGAGAGAGAGAGAGAGAGAGAGAGAGAGAGAGAGAGAGAGAGAGAGAGAGAGAGAGAGAGAGCGAGAAGGGGGAAAGAGAGAGAGAGAGGTTCCACTCGTTGTTTCCAATGCTGGCCCACTCGTGATTTTGTTGCCTCATCCTGCCATATGTGTTTCACCCCATATCCTACTTTTTTTACTCATAAATCAATACGTGCTTTTCAACCTGCCCTTCACCTACTTGCAGGGGCATATTCTCCTTCTCAACTCCTTTGCACACTCTTTCTGCTCCTCCTTGCACTATTTCTCAACTCCCTTGCCTAGAATATCTGATCTATTCCACATAGTGCGCAATATGCCAGTGCCCATCCATGTACTGTGTTATGGCTTGATAATGTGGGAAACAAGCAAACTTAAACGCTTCTGAAGTATCAAAGTGTTAACACTTATTAAGGTGGTTCAAGCAACTCTTATTAAACGCTTCCGCTATTACAACATCTCTACTTCATCACTTGATCTCAGTCTTGAAAGATCCTAAGGCTTTTCTCAGCCCAACATGGTATGAGAGCAGGCAAGGCAAGATCATCTCCTTTTAAATAACCTACAACAACAAAAGACATGGCAACACGAAAGGAGAGGAGCTCCTCCAACGGATCTCTTGGTACTACTCCTACTCTACCTCCAGCTTCTGGCCTACAGACAGAAGAAGGCACAGCTACAAGACCAGCTGCGCTGCGGAGTCAACGGAAACTCCCGGAAACCAAGCAGCAAGCTTCGACCCAAGTATGATGGAGAAGTTTTTCTCCTTCATGTCCTTCTACGAGCAACACCAGCAAGCAGCTCCTGCGCAATCAAACAACAGCGACAACAACAACAGAGCAACTCTGATGAGCCACGACGGTTCATCCTATGCGCGTGGAAATCAACAACAACCCACCTTTGACCCGTATGAACCTCAACGCGACTCCATCAGTTTCGCACCGCAACCGCAGTCTTCGCATGGACAAGAGAAGACACTGGACGCGCTTCAGGTGCAACCGCAATTCGCACATGTTCTAAAATTGCAAACGTCAACACTCTTCGACAGGAAGGATTTTTATACCTGGTCATTTGAATTTGAGCTGATGATGGAGGGCGCGCAAATTCTCGGATTCTTCGACGGGTCTCTGCCATATCCAGCACACGGGACACAGTATGATAAGCAGAAGTATACGTATCAGTCGGTGATGGCGTACACGATACTTCTTCGAAATTTAACGCCAAACGAGCAGCAGAACATCCGGTCTTATCGGGGATACGACAACTCCGCCGAGCTGGCGTACGACCACCTGAAGAGCCTGTATCAAGCAACAGTCAGTGTTAACCAGAGTCGTCTCATGGCACAACTGACAACAGTGGAAATGAAACCCGGCGAAAAGGGAATGGCTTATATTAGCCGCTGTCGTGGACTGCGCGACAGACTCCTTCGATGCGGAGGATCAATATCCGAAGAAGCTTTTGTAACAGTTATCATCGCCGGCCTTGGTCCTCATTGGCGCTCCACTCGAGCACTCCTTCGAGGTCACGGCAAGATCTCCGAAGCAGCACTCTGCGCCGAAATTCACGCTGAACAGCAGGATATGGACCTGCACAAAGAATGACACAAGAAGAAAGCGTCAATACCAGAATTCGCCTTCCACACTCAACGACGCTACAACAACAACAACCACCGACACAACAACCGACAAGTACAACAATATCTCCCACCGTTTTGTCACCTTTGCAAGATGTCTGGACAACCTCGCACACACTGCCCGAATCAGCAGCAGTTGACAACACCGCAACGTCAACTACGGCCTTCAAGCAGTCAAGTAGCTTCTACGCAGGCGCACCCCACCAGTCAAGTGCAGCCTTCAACATCTTCAACAACACAACCTGCACAAGGAACAAGAAACATCGTAAGCTGCATGATAAAAACGACCGACTCCTGCATCACCGGATCACCACCTCATTACTCGCCAGAAGAACAGCTCGATGAAAGGACTCCTCGCCGCGAATCACTGTAGCCCAACCCGACGTATGCAGCCATCGCCCAGAGCGAGCCATCCGCTCAAGACACTTGGTTCTTGGACAGTTGCTGCGGACAGCACATGTGCTCCTTGAGTCGCTTCGTTCAACAAGAACATCAACTTCAGCGCAAAGTTGTCATCACCGTGGCCAACAACCAGAACCTGTATACACGACGACAAGGGATAGTACAACTTCAGTCTCCAGAAACTAATGTCATCCTACAAATGTCCAAACTTTTGATTGCAGAAGGACTCGGCTACAACTTACTGAGCGTCAGCCAACTGATGGCGAAGGGTATTCATCTTGAAGCGGACGACACCACTCAGGAGTTCAAGTTATTTCACGGAAAAGGAGGACTCTACATCAACAGAGCAATCTTGAAGAACAATGTCTTCGTTCTCGACTTTGTACCAGATCAAGGAACCGCCGACAGCGACGCCATCGTCAACTTCGCTTCCTTGACACATCCTCCGGACCTCGATCCCGACTTCAGCCCTGGAGGATTCTGGTATTCATATACCATACCCGAAGCAGAAAGAACACGGGCATTAGCAACAATCCGGCAAGAAGAAACAACATCGACAGCAGCAGAGACAACATCGGCAACAACAGCAACACTTACAGCACCAATCGCGAGCTCTTCGACGGCACCAACCTTCATCGACGACACTCCACCGACTCCTGCACAGCAGTTAGCTCCCACTCCACGTGAAGTTCACAGAAGCGCCAACTTCACCGCAGGTTTTTACTCCAACTCCGACCTGTACAGGCGCTCACCCGGACATCGAGCGAGCGAATCTCTGTGGCACGAACGACTGGGTCACCCAAGCAACACCACGTTAAACAATACAATCAAGGCAGCAGTACTCGACAAAGATTCACTCCTTCTACCCGACGGCAGAGAACTCCAACGAGTCTGCGGAACATGTTTTACCTGTCCCGAAGCTGACTTACCACATCAACCGTTCGTCTCTCACCACAATCCAAGCGCGCCAGCCTATGCACCACTCGAGAAAGTATACAGCGACATCCTGTATACTCGCGAACAAGGACAAGGACGTGATAATCAACAGGAATGAATGAACTAGGAAAGTGAGAGATACAAATATGAAACCTGTACCCCTTAGTGTCTACCCCACTACAGCCTACATAGGCCAAGGCATATATATCTGACACACCCCCATAGGCAAAGTGGGGGAGAACTAGGGGTCACAAGACCAGTCAAGCAAAGCAAAGCAAAGCAAGCTCAGGGTGGATCACAACGTCACCACACATTCCGAGCACAGGTTCAAAGGCCACAAGGCCAGTTCACATGCAAGTTCATATAAAAAGGTAAACAAGCAAGCGCAGGTATAGATAGATCACAGTACAAGGAAAGTCAAGAGGTAAGCAAGTGAGGCCAAGTAGGCACAAGACCTAGTAGAGTACAGAAGCGCTGATGATCACAAGGCTGAAGCGCCTTGGTGAAGATATCAGCAGTGTTGGCCTGAGAGGCCACGTAAGCAAGGCGCAGCTGACCACGCTGCTGCAGCTCACGAGCAAGGAAGTAGCGAAGAGCAATGTGCTTCGTTCTGTGCTCCAGTCTGTGCTCCCGACACAAGGCCAGCATGGCCTTGTTGTCTACGTACAGAACTGGAGGAGAACGAGGCGGCTCTCCCAGGTCAGTCAGCAGGTAGGTGAGCCAGCGTAACTCCTGTGCAGCCATGGCCCCAGCGTAGATCTCAGCCTCACAGCTGGAGCTGAGAACAGAAGACGACCGAGTAGACCGCCACGAAACAGAGCCGGAACCAAGGCTGAAGGTGTAACCCTGTGACGACCGCTGCGTAGCCAGGTCGTCAACCCAAGACACGTCTGCGTGACCAGTGAGGACCACTGGACTCCGCCCTCCAAGCACTAGCCCCAAGCCCGAAGTACTGCACAAGTAGCGCAACACCCTCTTCGCTGCAGCCATGTGCTCTGGTCGGTGTCTCCCAGGAGCAACATAGCGTGCCAAGATGCTCAGAGGGTATGCTAGGTCAGGTCGAGTGCAGGTCATCAGGTACATGAGGCAGCCAACAAGCTCTGGGTACGGGCCACTCGGCTCTACGGACTCATCCGAAGGCAGAGCTGAGAGCGAGTGGCGAGTAGACAGAGGAGTGGCCTGAGGCGAGGAGTACGTGAAGTCGAAGCGCTGAAGGACCTGCTGCACCATGTGTGACTGAGTCAGGGTAATGGTGCGCCGTGCTCTGTCCCGGGTGATCTGCAAGCCAAGATAGCTGCGCAGTTCACCCAGGTCTGTGCACGTGTGTCTCTTCTGCAGCTCGGACTTCACGTGGGCGAGTCCAGCAGTGTCAGCTGTAGCAAAAACCAAGTCGTCGACGTACACGAGGATGTAGAACGGCGGCAGCAAAGTGTCGGTGCGAAGAAACAGCGACGGGTCAGCAGTGGAAGGAGCAAACCCAAGAGCCGCAAGCGTAGTCCTCAGTGTGTCGTGCCACTCACGGGGCGCCTGGCGGAGACCGTAGACTGGCCGCCGGAGGCTCCACTGGGTACCAGGAGGAAACGACCCAGTGAAGCCAGGTGGGCGGCGCAGCCAGATCTCCTCGTGCAGACTGCCCTGTAGGAAAGCAGTGCTGAAGTCAAGGGAGTGAAGCTCGTAGTCACGCTGAGCAGCAACGTGCAGCAGAACCCGAAGAGTGGTCATCTTTGGGGTCGGGGAGAAGGTCTGAAAGTAGTCAACTCCCTGCCGCTGACTGAAGCCTCGAGCCACGTAACGCGCCTTGAAGACAGGCGGAGAACCCGGAGGCCGCTTCACCCTGAAGATCCACATGCCACTGACGATGTTCGCCCCAGGTGGAGGAACCTCGTTGACGTAGGTGCCTGTGGACTTCCAGGAAGCCATCTCTGCGTCCATGGCTGCCTGCCACTGAGAGGAGTAAGGACCCTCTATCGCCTCTGCGTAAGAGCGCGGGGTCGGGATGTCTGGTGCATCCGGGTCTCCCTCAGGGGCAAGCAGCGTGGACACGAGATGAGGTAAAGCAGCAGCAAAACATTGGAACTCCTCCTGTCGGTCCTCAAGGACGTCCGTGCTAAGAGCACACTCACCCCCGACGGACGGAGGACAGACAGACGCAGACTCAGCAACAAGACTAGCGGCGTAGTCTAGACGACAGTGAGCAGCGAAGTCGACAAGCTCGGCAACTAAGGCAGACGCAGCAGCGGACTCAAAGGAAGGGTCAGTGAAAGCAGTGGCTAGAAAACGCGTGACAGTAGGACTGGCAGCACGAAGGGAGTCA